ACAATTAGTGAAATTTGCCTAATCGGAAATCTCAATAGATACACTATGCCTTGCCAATGTGGGATAAGCATTGTCCCTTTTTAAGACTACGCAGGTTTACATTGACTTGCTTTTTAAGCTACGGCCAACAACCCTTTTATCTAAAAGGATGAAGCACCTTTTTGAACAAAAGATGTTCTGTCATAGGGCACTTTCTGCTGCTTAAAACAAAAGGAACTGCTTGTGGCACGTGAATATTATGTAGGTAGGGGATTGGGGACTTATAGCTCGTTGCTGTTGTGCGCCTACATGCATTACGTCACCAGTCATTTGCTCAATTGAGGATGCCATCGTCTTGACTTAAAGCCTAATGCTAACACTCTTCCCTAGTCCTAAAGTTGACCATACACTGATAGATTTTCAAATGAACCTTTGTATGGACAATCTCATCAGAACATTTGATAATGCCATCAGAGACTTGAAGAATATCTTTTGAAATTCAATTTGATGTTAACATTTGATTTTGGAATTAAGTTTCTCAAATGAAGACCACACTGTTAGAAATTTTCCGTCCTGCCACCTGCGGTCCAAATCAGTCTTCGATTTAACCCCATTAACTATTCAAATATCAAATGAACGTTCTTCAAAAAACATTTTTTTTTAAACAAGATTTTACTGGTGTATGGACAGCTTAAGGCCAACCCTTTACACCAAGCCTGATCCTCCGCTGTAAACAGAAATTACCTTATGTGTGCATTGTAGAAGTATCAGGGGCAGGGTAAGTAAATTATGTCAAGCAGGAACATTGGGGTAGAGTAACTAACGATAACAATTAGAGAGCAACTACACATAGAATAGTTTTTTGCATAAGCTAGTTTATGTGAAAAGGGTTTTAATAGTAATTAGTAAGTATGATTTTTTTTTTTAAACCATGGTGGCCTAGACAGGAGCAGTATTTACATACACAGCTGACTTCCTGTGCATTCATTCCTTAGGGGGAAACTGACAACTGCCATCCTGTGACCTCCTTTCACTTAGTGCATTAGGCCGCACAGCAAAATAACACGCAACTCAGTTCAGTACACGGTAATCATTTTGTTATAATTACTTTTATTCAGAAGCTGAAAAAAAATTATCGGATGCCTGCAAATAACAATCGTTATGGTGAGCAACGTGTTACAGCTTTGTGAATTGAGCACGCTGTCAGATATCTCAGTTTCTGTACCAGTTTAAGTACTTTTAAACACATAATGGGGAATATATCAAAACTGGAGCAAACAAAATCTGGAGGAGTTGCCCAGGGCAACCAATCAGCGTCTCTCTTCAGTTTGTTCAGTTATGAAAATGATAGAGAGAAGCTGATTGGTTGTCATGCACGGCTGCTCCAGATTTTGTCTGCTCCAGTTTTGATAAATTCCCCCCCTAGCGCTTTCATACAATGCTATTTTTTGTTGAGGTGTATAGTCTTCCTTTAATCTGGAAGTCTCTGGTATTGGCGGGATCAAGAAAGTTAGTTATCTTTTCTAATAACTGTACGGTTTGAGTCAAAATAGCAAACTATATCAGGGTGGGGGGGTAACCTTATCGAACAGATGTAATGAATGTAATGTAATTAACATTAGTCAACAAATGGGCAGTCACAGACTGTGCCACTTCCCAAAGATCCTGCTCTGACCATGTGTGCAGATCTCACGTAAATGTTCATTTCTTCATGTGTAGTAGACCCCCCCCTAACGCTTTTATAATGGTACCCTTAAACCTGAGATGGCAAACACCCTATCTAGCTTTTTGAGCTCTGATCACTGCAAAAAAAGGCTTAATCTGACTACTGCTCTACCATCGCCTGAACTTCTCGCCTGAGCATTGGCAGGCTTCGGTGGACAAATGCAGGGTGCAGATGACCTGCTTCCACTGCTTTTACATTTCCATATTCTTATATGAGGAGAGAAGCCGTTCTGAAGCTAACAAAAGCCTGTTGGCACAAAGCCTATTGCTGACCCCGGCTCTGAAACACATTGAAACGAATGTGCTGCCAATGAAGCAATGACCTAAAAGAGATCAAATCTCTCAGTAGCATGAAATTAAAACAAAACATGTAGTGCCATTGGGTTACCCATATGCTTGTCAGCCAATTTGTACATTGTAAGGTGGTTTGTATGAACCACTGTTTGCAAACGCTTTCTTTTACTGAGAAAACTATGCGTTTGGAAAATATAGACGTGATGGGTCTGGCAATAATGGTGCTAGGTAGAGAAAGTACGCATGCAGACTGTCCAATGGAAAACGGCTGGCTCTATGGATCGATTTTTCTGGCGCTGTTGGCCTCCTGCAAGCATTGCTTTACTAAAAAAAAAAAATAGTTCTTATATAGAAACAGGTTTTTAAGACAGGCTAAAGAAATATTCAATCAGCCTTAGAGTGTCAGGTAAATTACAGCTAGGCGTTATAACACAGTACAGTTCAAGGTGTATGGCTGCCTTGGATTTAGCACAACTCTAAGCATCAGTTATTGGTAAAGGCACATCTTTAATGGGGATCAATGGACTCTTAATGCTTCCCTACTGAGCTTTATTGGCCCTGGGTGTTGGTGCAAAGAAAGGAAATAGGACACACCCTATGCTCTTGCATTGGGCACTAATTCAAAGCTCAATAATCTGCTCTCAGGAGCTGTACCCTTTGCTATAAACAGGAACTCATTCATTTATAATAAATAACAAGTATCTTTGTTGCTCCCTAGCTACCAATCATCTTTATTCATTCCAGATCTCAAAACGAAAATGATTCTGCTGGATATGATCTATGGAACAACACAACAGTTCATGTTTGGTTCTTTACGCATTCCAGATATCCAACAAAAGTTTCCTAAAACATTCTCATTTGTGAACAATTATCTCTGCCTTTGTAGTGTGAGTGTCACTTTTAGTATTAAACATGAGCACATACTGTCCACTTTCCCAGAAATACTACAATGCAATATGTACATAGATAACTTAAAGTGACACTAAACTCAGGAGTTTAAAATACATTCAAATAACTTAACTGGGCTGTAGATCCACAAATCATCTCTGAATTGGTGCTGACACTGTCCTTCCTTCTGGAGTCCAGGTTTACACCATTTTCTGGCCCAGATCTGGAATGAGGTGCATTATGTTTCGCTGTGTTTTTACCGCACTTTTGCAGCAGAGCAGTTTTTTTCTTTTTTTTTTTAAGCTTAAAATGGGCTTTCAGGTGGGGTCCAGTGCGTTTGTGTTTTTTATGTGTTTCCATGCACTCCAGTGCATTACAGACCAGAGAAAATGCGACTAGCAGTATTTTTGGGGGGTTTGTTCGGAACAGACTGTGCTGTTGTGAACAGAGCCCAGAAATACCATAGGGATACATTGGGATGCTTTTGTAGTCCGGTAACAAACTGTTCTGGTCTGGACACGATCCGGACATGGTGTGAACAAGCCGGAGGGTGGCTACTTTTGTTCCCCACGGTTCCGGTGTGTGTTGTAAAGTAGCCACCACTCCAAGATCACTCCTGTGATGGACTACAATCTCATGTTTAGTTTACCAATTTGTATTAAGATTGTACTCCATCACAGGAGTGAGCTCAGAGCGGTGACTACTTTACAACACACACAGGGACCATGGGGAACACAAGTAGCCACCCTCCAGAAGGAAGGACAGTGTGAGCACTAATTCAAAGATGATTTGAGGATCTACAGCTAAGTGATACACAAATAAGGTCCAGTATTGTTAATAGTTGGGGTACTTGAATGTATTTTTAAGATTTAACTCCTGAATTTTGTGTCACTTTAACATGTCCATACACTGGTAGATTTTTGTATGAACATTCAGACAAATAGGCCTGCCAGAACATTTGATAATGCCATCAGAAAATTGAATGGAGTTTCCCAATCATAAACCACATTCACTGTTGGAATTGCGTTTGTTGGAGAAAAAGTTTCCAGCCTGCTCCTTCAATTTATTTTTGTCACTACGCTCCAAACCGAGGATCAATTTAACCCCGTTAACTATGAGACAATCTAACGAATGTTTCAATTGAAATTCTACTGATTCCGGGTTTAGACTGCCAGCTAGGATCTTGTCTTCTCCAAAATGTGGGCTCTATCTACTAAATTTAGGGTACATATATAATCTCACAAACCCCCCAGAAGTACTGAGCTGAGGAAATGTGCCGTACAATACATGGAGCTCAGCTGTAAGGGAATGCAGACGGTTGACACTTGACAATTATGCCTACAGCTGGTAAATTTTAATTCTCAG